TAGCTTAGGAGTAACACTGGAATGCGTATCCTGTATAAACTGTAAGTGCCCACACCCAGGATCCATGGCTAAGCGAGAACTCTGCAGTTATGGGCTATGCATATATTTGGCTTCAGTAATTACTGACAAGAATTTTCCAAAATGGTTGCTCCAGTTTGTGCTCTTGGAGCCTCATCAACATTGGCATTCTGCCTTTTAATTTTAGGCATTTTAGTCAGTGTGCCATGTCCCATGGTGGTTTTAAAATTTCTATTTCTCTGATGGACAGTGGGCTAAGCAGTATTTTCCTATGCTTATTGATCATACTGAAATATTTTTATTGTTAGGTTGTGTTAACATGGGCTCCTGAGACTCGGGAAGAGTCAGGCCATTTCACTAACCACCTGGGGCGCCCTCTCCCAGGGTCTTCCGTGCTGTGAGGTGAAAGCAAACAGCATGAACGACAGTTCCCGCTTGTTGCTTTGCCAGGGTCTGCTATAGGGTTAAGAAACTTGTACTATGTTTTTGGATGCGGCTATCCCTTTAGTGATTGGTCAGCCAGAGTTGTTTTGCATCAGAGAGAAAGTAAACTCTAGGCAACCAACAAGCAATTCAAGTGCAAAAGGAGATGACAGGTGAAACATTGAAAAGAATTTAGTCTCTACCCCTACCCTCAAAAAACCATGATAATCTAGGCCATTTGTTTGACTGATTTTTAATCCTGGTTTACAAAACAGTGTGTCCAGAGACCTCCTCATTCTGCTCCAATTTATTCGTTGATCCAATTTATAAGTTGATCAGTGCCAGCCATCAAACACAGCATCCGGAGCAGGTCCTGCAGGGCCACATGTCCTGCAGGAATCATCGCAGCTTCTGTTTCATTGGCACCAATGTTTACTGTCCATTCCCGCGCCACTGGCTGGCCTATTGGCTGTGACCAGACTGTGAGGCGGTTTATGAGTCACGCCAGGAGTCATGTGTCCTGCAGAAGACTGAGTGTCTTTGTGGCCATTAGGTGGCTCTGTTGGGAAAGGAGAAAGATAATCAGGTAAACTGTGAGGCAGGCCTGGGAAGAGGGAAGAAAGGGAAGCTTCATTTGTTTGTTTGTTTGTTTAAGATTTCTATCTCTTCCCCACCGCGGCCTCCCATTTCCCTCCCCCTCCCCCAACCAAGTCCCCCTCCCTCGTCAGCCCAAAGAGCAATCAGGGTTCCCTGCCCTGTGGGAAGTCCAAGGACCACCCACCTCCATCCAGGTCTAGGAAGGTGAGCATCCAAACTGCCTAGGCTCCCACAAAGCCAGTACGTGCAGTAGGATCAGAAACCCATTGCCATTGTTCTTGAGTTCTCAGTAGTCCTCATTGTCCGCTATGTTCAGCGAGACCGGTTTTAACCCAGGCTTTTTCAGACCCAGGCCAGGTGGCCTTGGTGAAAAATTAAAAAAAAAATTAAACATTAAAAAAAAAGAGAATTGATTGTCCCCAATGACTAGAAATGTCTAGGTCACGCTGCCTTCAGACACAGTCTGATCTTGAAGAGTGGTTCTCAACCTCCCTAATACTGTGAGCTTTTAATACAGTTCCTCATGTTGTGTTGACCCCAACCATAAAATTATTCCATTGCTATTTCATAACTGTAATTTTGTTACTTTTATGAATAATAAATGCAAATAAATAAAAAAAGAAAAGGAAGCTTCAGCTGAGCAGGCATGCGGGGGGAGGGGGGCAGCCTGCCTGCATCATCCTGCAGCCAGCTTTGATATAAGGCAGGTGTTTGTGGGAGAGAAGGAAGGGCGTTAGTGGAAAAGTCTGGACTAGATAGATGGCAGTGGGGATGGAGGGACAGGGCATATCCCCCAGTATATCAGCTGTTCTGGATCAGGACCTGCAGATTTGTATTACACAGTAATAACCTGGGCATCCTCCTGCTGGTCTAGTTCCCACACAGCCACAGTGAATGGGCTTATGAAGGGACAGGTACTTGACACTGACGCTTCAGCTTTCCAGAATGTCTCCTGGATTGTAAATTGCTCCAATATGGACAACAAGATGGACAAGATGGTGCTTCTGCCACAGCAAACAGCACATCTCCGTATGCAGGTGCATCATGAGGGAGAACAATGCCCCAGCTTGTCCAAAGCTGGGTGGGCTCCCAGGATGCAGAAATTTCAGTGTGAAAATTTGGACATTCCCAGGTGAACCAGATGAGTGGATTGTTCCACCAGGAATGCCAATGGGTCTCAGAGGGTAGCATTTCCTTTGTCTCTGCCTCACAGGTTGAGCGTTGGTCAGTTATGAGGGTATCTTAGACCTATAAAGTCAGGTAAAAAGAGAAGCAAGCTCCAGGGGACATCTGGGGCTCTTGGGCTGTCCAGATACATGTTATTCCCACATGGACCACATCGGGAGACAGTGGTCCAGATCCCTGGGACCAGCATAGTACATGGAGCCCAAGAGGCAAGGCAGTGACCTCTTTTGAGTGCTTCCTTTATTCTTAGTGATGGGGTTCCAACCAGCCTGAGCAAGGAAAACATGGTTCTGACAGGCCTTGCCCTTCCCTTAATCCCTTTGCCTTGCTAAAAATCCATTAGATTACATTCCTTAAGATAGCCATCAAAGTTATAGGCTCTCCATATTCACACACTGGTGTGGTTATAGACTCTCCATATTCACACACTGGTGTGGTTAGAGGCTCTCCATATTCATACTGGTGTGGTTAGAGGCTCCCCATATTCACACACTGGCGTGGTTATAGACTCTCCATATTCACACACTGGTGTGGTTAGAGGCTCTCCATATTCACACACTGGTGTGGCTATAGGTCCTCCATATTCACACACTGGTGTGGTTAGAGGCTCCCCATATTCACACACTGGTGTGGCTATAGGCCCTCCATATTCAAACACTGGTGTGGTTAGGGGCCCTCCACAGCTCTTTTGAATGATAACCGAGTCCACACCAGCCTCCCCTGAACTTCTGTCAGTTTGCATTTCCCCCACAGGTCCACTGTTGCCATGCACCCAGTTAACTATCACCTAGAAATCACAGGGCTGGGGATCTCCTTGCTGCTGCGTCTCTGTCCTCTGAAAGACTTCACTACCCATACGGTCAGCTGGGGCAACCTGGCTGTCATGTGGTTGGTCTTAGCTGTCCTCATGGCCTCTGGGCTTTGTGAGCTTGGGCTGGGAAGCCTGGGACAGAACTCTGTGAGCACAAGGCTGTGTGGACATTCCCATGGCAGCTAGATGAAGGCTTTGCCTGCAGCTTGGCGTCTCCTCTCCTATCTGCCATCTGCAGCCTGGTACCCTTCTCGTCATTGAGGCCTCCCCTGTAATCATTGGCCTCTTCTTCTATCTGATGTCGTTGGAATGTCCCTGCTCCTTAGCCCTGCACTTCCTCTCAGGGTCTGGGTATCTAATCTTGGACTCCAAGGTGTGCCCTTAGTGTTGGTGAGCAAAGACCTCTGCTGTACTTGAGCCGAGCTAGAGACACAGTGTGAGACTTGTCAGCTTGGTGGAAGTGTCAGGGCAAGATTCATCTGGGAACCAGCTAGACCCTGGAGATCAATAGAATTGTTCCCAGTGTGGAAAATGGGTGAGAAAAAAAAACTATTCAACTAGTCAGAGGGCAAGAGAACAGCAATTCTGACTTCTAGGGAAAAAGCTGTTGGTGAGAGCGGCTGGCAGGAGAGCCAGCTGCTGGCTCTGCACAGGGATACTGACCTCTCCGTTCACCATATCCCCAGCCCCTGAGAGAGTGCCAGGCATTTGGAGAATGACTGGGTCCTGCTTATGCGGGTGATATATCCATGAAAAGACAGTTCCCCCATCTCCCTGGAGTGCTGCATACACGTCTGTCAGGCCACTGAGGGCTGTGTTCAGGAGTCAGAGTCACCTGGATTAGAATTGTGGGGCCCTATGCAAGGTCAAGAATGCTCTTTAACAGAGGGTGCTGACCTCCCTGAATCTGTGTGAGGGTCTTGTACACAAGCCTCAGGACTTGGCCTAGACTACCCGCATGATTCCACATGGCCTCTCGAAAACTTTCCTCAAATTTTCTCATATTTGTGACTTATTCTAGAAAAAAAAATCTCTAAGTTTGAGAGACCAGTATGATCCATGTGCCAGGAGTCTTCAGTTGAGTTAAGCAGCTGGGGCGTGGACCCTACATGGCTTCCCATCTCCTTCTCTCAAGACTGAGTGGGGAGGAGTTGGGGGATGGGTAAGGAGCTTCCATTCTGTTCCGAGGCCAAGCCTTGCTATATCTTCCCCACAGGTGAGGGCACTCATGAAGAAACAGCCTTTGGCTCTTTCACACCAGCCCAGCGTGTCCTTGGCCCTCTCACACAAGTTTGCTGCTCTGTTCTGTTCCTAGGTGAAGGAGCACCAGGACGAAACCAGGTCACCCAGGTTACATTTATTGAAATCGAGGCGCCTTTATTTTCTCTGATGTCTATGGCTGTTGGTTGTTTATTTGGGGTACCTCTACCAGACAACCTTCTTTCCTCCATTCCAGTTCTTTCCTCTGGCAACAGGCCAAAGAGCAAACAGACTATAGTGCAAAGGACCCTGCCCGAGGTTTTCAGCATGGGCGGGGAGATGTCAGCTTTTTGGTGTGTTGTCTAATATGTGAGGTTTGTGTGTAGATCAGCCTGGAGGGGCTGGTCTACATGCTCTGAAGGGGGGATCTCTCTCTCTCTCTCTCTCTCTCTCTCTCTCTCTCTCTCTCTCTCTCTCTCTCTCTCCTCTCTGCTGCTGCTGCTGTCTTGTGTATCTGTGAGATGTTTTTATTTTTTTCCCCCAGATCTCCTTCCGAAAGGAGACTATCGTTGCCGCAGACAGCAGAGGTGAGGAAAGGACACACATCACGTCAGTTTTAAGAATAGCTTTATTACATATTTTACTTTCACCAAGGAGAAAAAGGCAAGGAAGCTGGGAATGAGCCAGCTCCTCTCACAGAGACACAAACTTAAGACCATACATGGCGTCCAAAGCCCCCTCAAGCCAAATGGTTCAAAGCAGACCATTCATGAAGCCCAAAGACTGACAGGGTCCCAAGATTCCCACTTGTGTTTCCTTATTGACTGTTTGAATTCAATCTTTCAAAATATTTTGTTTCAATTTTACAAAGCACAGACCTCATTACAATGTCTAACCATTTTTTTGTTAGGATGCAGAAACAGTTACACTGTATTTGAGTTGGTAACACCACCGGCCTCTTCTTAATACCTGCTGTAGTGTTGATAGCCAACATGAAGCCATCACAGGTTCTTTTGAGGTTTGAAAGAGAGCCTTGCACTCTGAAAGAGGGACGAAGGCATCCTTGGTCATTGGGTCCTAAGGGCTAGTTGAACTTTTGCCCCAAGAGAGCTGTGTTAGGCTTTGGTGGTCTCCCTGGACAGCCCCACCACTCCTGGACTAGAGATGATTCACCGGCTGCAGATAAGAGGACTCATTCACAGAGGTTGATAAGAATCAGAGAGCTATCTTCAGAGGTACAGACCGAGTCCTGAAATACTGAGGAAGTCAGGAGACAAGAAGGGGTATTATACGGAGATACCCACAGGAGAAGGTCACCAGAGAGGGGACTGGGCTTGGGTTTTCTTCTGCTGGTCATCTTCTTGACTCCAGGTGGTGTATGACCAGCTACTTTCCCTTGCCCTGGGATGAAGCCTGCTCCTGGGCCTTCTGAGGGAATTCCTCCACACATTTGGTTTGGGCTAGCTCCTGGCATGACTCTGCACGTTGAGGCAGGCACTGATCTTGGCTTGGAGGTAGGCATGGATCTTGGCCTTGCTGTGGGCAGTTTCCTTGGCTTATCTCCTGGCACTGAGGATCACAGACCTCCTGAGCTTGGAGTGAACATTTGTCTTGACTGGGGTCCTGAACACACACTTCCTCAGCTTGTGCCTGGCACTTTTCTTGGGTCTTTTGAAGACATGGAGGTGGCACACATGGTTGCTTGCACTGTTGGTCACTGAAAGACATCTTGGGTGATTTGAAGAGCCTGAAAAAAAAAACCCAGAGGATTTAAGCTGTTTTACACCGAAAGCACCAAGCTGGGAACTTGAGAAAGGCGTGGATGGGTGCGGATTGAGAGAGGGATTGAGGAGCAGATAATTAACTCTCAGACTGACTTTTATCCATGTCTTTTATATCCCTAGCCCAGCTCCCTCTGACACTTGTTTCCAAGATGAAAATATTATTCAGGCTTTTGTCTGGATAGACACAAGCTGAAAACCCAGTCCTACCACAGAATTGAACTAATAATCTAAAAAGTCATCTACAATACACTAAACAGAATACATGAGATAGTTAAAGTGGTCATATAAAAGGCAAGATGTCTAAAATAAATGTAGAAAGTATAGTCTAAGATAGGAACAGAACAGTGGCCTCCAAGAGATGGAACATGGAGGAGAGAGATGGGGAGGGAGGGAGAGGGAAAGAGAGGGAGAGAGAGCATGCTTACCTGATCTTCAACAAGATTCAACAAAGGATGTGGATTGTGGAATCTAGGAAGGTGGGGACTTTTATACCGTGCTTGGTATGACCTCCCGAAGGGCTGGTGGGCCACGTGGGCTAAAGTCCTAATTGTGGAGTCACCATAACAAGCTTCATCTGAAATCACGAACCGTTTGAGTCACTGCTTGTGATGCCTGTTAATCAGCCTGCATTTTGGCCTCTGGGTTCTCAGCAGACCTCAGCAGGGAGGGGCTCCATCCAGAGCTTTCATTACAGGCAGTAAGAAAGGAATGTCCATAAAATGTTATCTGTCTGTTAGCAGGGCCGAGGTGCCCTGTCTACTCACACTGGTTCAGGATACAGTGAGAGATACGATCAACCTTGCTCATCTATCTTTGCCAGTAGGAAGAATCTATGCCTAAGGCCTGGGGTCTGTCTGAGTTAAGGACTGGTATGGTTTATTTCAAACATTTCCACTGGATGTTCCTGCATTATAATAAATGCAGAAAACCCCTCCATTTATTTTGTCTAGACTAGCTCAAGGCTTGGCTCTAGACAGTGAAGGTAGTGGTCTTGGCCTGGAGGCAGGCATGGAAATCAGACCCAAAGAAGATGGCTTAGACTTAGGGCTCTAAGTTGAGATGCTACAGTGTCCTGGGCAGAAATGAAAGTTTTTCCTGCATAAAGTCCTGAGAAAAATTAGAGTGTTTTCATGCTCTTGTGTCAGGTGATGTGGTGAGGGGAGAAGAGAAGAGGCCATTCTCAGTTTCTGAACTTTGGGTTCTGGTGCCCTTTGAAAAGTAGAGCTTTTCCGAGTGACCAAGGAAACAGGTTGGAAGACCTTTCTCCTCACCTCTTGAAACACTTGTCAGATTGAGGCCAATGGAAACTGAGTTTGGGGTGGAATCAAAGTTCACAGCAATGTATCCATCTCCTCTATGTTTTGTCCCTGTTACATGATGAATCCTGCACCAAAGCTGTTGAAATCTATCAGTCTTCAAGCTCCACTCACGCCTACCGTGTTTCAGGAGTCTTCCCTGCAAACCAGAAAGAAATTCACTTCTTTATAAACTCCCATAATATTTATGTGTATATATTATATATGCATATATATGCATATATATATGACATTTAGTGTTTCTGTTCCCTTATTCTGGGCTGTAAGTTCTGACATCTGACAAGATCACATGTATTATATAACTGAAAGATAAGATTATTGATGGGGGGCAGGCATGAGTGAGGGAATGAAGGGGCAGGTGTACAAGACAGTGGTGGGCAGACAAAGATCTTCTCACAAACCTTGGTCCACCATAGAATTTTTCTTTCTCTTCTGTTTAAATAATTCTTTTGAAAATTCATGTATAGTACACAAGACAGATTACATAGGATCCTTAAAGATATAAAGAAAGTAGCAATCAGCTTTAAAGAGAAACCAGTAGAATGCACAAGCCAAGGCGGAGGCAGAACAGAGATGGAACAGAGAGAGAAAACGGGGGGGGGGGGGGGGGGGAGGGAAAGAAGAGAG